GCTAACTAGCACATGAACAGTAACCGTGCCGTTCGCCAGGTAATCAACTAAAAATGACATAAAATGAACACAAAAGCACACTATTAATGACACGGACATATTATCCATTGTATAATGTGCATACATGAACATATTTATAGCATTCAACAAGTTATAAGCAAATTGTATGCATCTCTTAACTCACCAGCTCAGCTTCACCAGTCAAAACAATAGCATCCATATAAAGAAGATCCGGCAGGTTAATACATCCGCCCCAATTAACCTACAGGGGGGGTTGCTACCACAAGAGGTCGCTATTACGTTACAACAAATGTTGAATAACTTCACAGTGTCTTTGAAATATTTTTTGGAGCACCTCTCAGAAGTGTTATCCTGCCTGTCCTAACACCAGGAACCCTGCTGTACGACTCCATAGAACACATAGCCAAGAGCGCACTGACTGATGGTCTGAGAATTTCTTCTTGTTGACATTGGACGGCTGTTTGTTTTATGTAACCTGGAGCAAGGCCATTTAAATTCATTACAGAGATGATCACACGTCCTTTATAATTTAAACAAACAGAGTATACTATAACGTAAGCTAACTCGAGTCGGTATTTAAATAGAATAAAGTTCCCCCCCCCCAGCACAAGAATGCTGAAAGATTTCTCTTGATCCCACAGTAATGTAACCAAACAACCTCCGTCCAAGCAGGGTTTCTTAAGGACATACCCGATCTGTTATACCTACTCTCTCTGCAGGGCACGGTAAAAAAGAGAAAAAGAAGGAAGAAAACTTTGACCCTGATTTTGTCTCACATGTCTCTCATGTGCTTTCGAAGGGTTGGCCAACATTGTGAGCTTTGATGCCAAAATATACTGTAGGCTTCCTATCAGAATCATCATGAGCAGAGTGTTGTGCAACCACAGGAAAGGGCGTCAGACCAACGGACTGATCTTTTACAAGTCAACACTGCGGTTTTGTCTAGTTATCTGCTTATTCTCCAAAGCAAAATGGATTGCAGTTATAGTTGACGTTGTTTTTGCATTATTAAAGTTCATCAAATTACAAACAGGAACACCTGAATACATCTCAGTACAATTGAGTTGAGCCAAACTACAGTGTTGAATTAATAAGGGTTCAAATGACAAATAGGTAATCATTTGTATTGTATATATTCCGACTGTATGTATTATTTCTATTCTATTTGTATTTTTTTATGTTTACCTGTTTATGACTTTTCCTGATGTTTATAAAGTATCTTTTCTTTTTGCTGCTGCAACACAGCAAAGTTCCAAAGTTGAGGAAC